AAAAGATAACGAACTGCTACTTCTTGCTGGTTGAATATTTTCCTCGCTCGATGACTGGCTATTGTTTGCCGATATACCTCCTTCATGTTTCTTTTTATTTTTGTCCCTCATCTCTAGTTTGAGTCGGCAACTGTTACATATTTTTTTTTCCAGATTTGTTTTAGTCGTAGATATCCGCAACTTACGCAGAATATTATCTGAAACTTGCCTTACTTTGGCCTTTTTTTCCACCTTTTGCCATTATTTAAATGTTCTTACTTGTTTGTTCGCTTTCAAAACAGAAACTGAGAACTTGTCATACTTATCTAACAATTTATACCTAATTTGATTCCAGTATATTTATAAGATAGAAGCATCTAAACTCTCTGTTAGAGCGGTTGAAGTCAAATTGTTAATATTGTAGGATTCTGTAGAATTATTATAATTAATGTTTTATATGATTTATATATTATATTTTATTATATTTTAATCTATTGTAATTAATATATTGTATAATTAAATTATTATAATTAATATATTATATAATTCATATATAATATTTTATATGGTTAATATATGGTTAATTAATTTATCTAACTAACCCTGTATAAGATGTAATCAAACCAACGGTTCTAATTCTTGTTTTTATTGCCTTTTGTTTTTTGCGCTCGAGATGAGCAATTTTTTGTTATATTTTTTGGCTGCAAGTAAACTCCGTTGGTTTGGGTACACACAAAAAAGTGATTAAACAATCAATAACCGAAATTCAAATAAAGATCACAAAAACCAATTATAAAAACGCTTGTAATAATAAATTTTGTTTTCATATTCAAAATTTATTACTTATTATTATTTTTTTGTTTTTATCTTTATAAGATTTTTATTTTCGAATTTATTAGTTTCTTCTCATTAGGATTAGCAGGAAGAAATCTGCACATTATTAGGCATCCAAGAATGCCGAGACAAAAATAAGTTTTGAGACTTTTGTTTAAGCTGTTCGAGCTCAGTTTAAAATCTGAATTTTATTAACAATTTTCCAAACTATTTATACAAAAATGTTTTACAATAATTTACAAATATTTTCCTAATAATTTTAATTGCGGCGGCACTAAAAAGGTTGACCCACGTCAATGCTTAGAAAATATTATGACACATTCAAGTGTGTCATATCGACAAGTGCAGAATAGTAGCACAGAAAAGAAAAGTGTCAAATAGCAATTGCATACTTGCTATGACCAAATATTCTACTTGCATTGCGGTGGTTCTTCCGTGTGCGATCGCATTACATTAGTTAATATAAAATAATTTGTGCATAAGCACTTTCAAAAATACATGACATAATTTATTATTTGTTTTTGTTTACATTTTCATAGTTGCGCTATACACAACACCTCTACCCTTTTAAAAAAAATTTTATTTATACAATAATGAAAATTTTTTATGATAATTTGAATTTTGAAAACTTGACATTGACAATTTTTATTTCTTAAAAATAATTTTACAAATAAATGCAATAAAAATAATTTTTTATTTTCTTATAATATTTATATTGTTTGTAAATTTTTCTTTAATCTATTATTATGAACTATCTTTATTTTATCATTAATTTCTATAGTGGAATTTACACCATTTCTATCAACTATCTTATATGGACCATGATATGGATTCTCATGTTTCTTTCTATTTTCTACTCTTAAATAAACTAAATCTCCTACATTAAATAAATTTTCTGATGCATTAGCATCTTGTTTAATTTTTTGAGATAATTTTTCTTTTATTAATATCTCATTTACTGCTTTATGCGCATACTGTAGTTTTGTTTTTAACTCAGTAACGTAAGAATCATAATTATAAAATTTTCTACCTTCTATTATTTCGTTTGGAAGATTCGCGACTCTACCATATACTAATTCGAAAGGTGAATAATATGTTACACAATGAAGTGTAATATTATATGAAAATGTGTAGTATGGGATCCAAGTATCCCAATCAAAATTGTTTGTAAAAGATAACATATATTCGTTTAATACTCTATGGTTTCTTTCTATAGAACCTAATGTTTCGTGATGATAAGCAGTGGATTTTAAATGTTCTATACCTAATAACTTACATATATCATTTATTAATTCATTGAGGAATTTTGTACCTCGATCTGTTTTTATTTTCTTAACATTACCATATCTAAATATAAATTTTTCTACCATGACTTTTGCTATCTCTTGAGCTTCTTTTGTCTGTATAGGAAATGCGACTACATATTTAGTTAGTTCGCATTGTATAGTGAGAATGTATCTGTACCCATTAGATATTCTTAGTGGACCTACAGTATCCATCTGTATTACTTCAAACGGTGAAGTTGGAGTGTTAGTTATGACAAATTTTTCTTTATGATGTCTTATTATTTTATTCTTATTACATGATGCACATTTTAAAATATAATCTTTTATCATTTTATTCATTCCTTTCCATACGTATTTCTGTTTTAATTTAGCTATAGTTCTTCTTATTCCGGTGTGACCTCCGTGAATACTTGTATGGTAATTCTTTATTAATTCAATTTGTTCCGATTTATCCACGACATTCCTTGGTGGATTATATAATAATATACGTATAGGTGTTTGCTGACCTTTATTCTTTATTTCTTTTTGCATGCTATTAAATATTTTCATTAATTCTTTTTCATCAATGTATTCGAATACTATATCTTTAGTAGATAATGCTACTTTATTGAGATTATTTTTGTTCAATACTTTTGTGAGCGTATCCAAGACTGATTCTAAAATCAATTTGGGCTTATTGCTACACTGTACTTTAACAATGTTTTTCTCAATTTTTATAATTGGCAAACTTTTCTTATTCTTTTCTTTATCGAGCTCAAATTTTAATATAGGTAATCTTCTAATATCAGAAATCGAAATACAATTCCACATGTAGAGTTGATCATTCTCTGTGTAATTTGTACCATGATTCTGCTTGATTACGTTTTCTTCATTATTCATTTTCATTTTACTTCTGGTCACAATATTAATATTTTTCGGAATCATTTCTTTAAGTGTATCCGAATCCATTCTGATTCTGGATAATGCATCAGTATTTGTATTCATTTTTCCTTGTTTAAAAATTATGTTAAAATCATAATCCATTAAATATACTCTTTTTCTTGTTAATTTTGACGAAGGGTTCTTGTGTGATATTGGTAAAATGTATTCAGTTTCGTTTGTGTTTATTGAGAACGTGTAAGTTTCGTAATCAATTTTTGAAAAATATTTATTGAAAAAGTCACGTCCTAGAATGCCATCAGTAGGAATTGGAAATTCGTCACCTACTACTTGAAATTTATGCTTTAAGCAATCGTTCACTATTTTAAAATTTAAATTTGTAGTACCTAATGTTGTAATTGGACTGTCAGTTATTCCAGTGAGTTTACATAATTGTTCGCCTGCAATGTCTTCGTCATTTGTACAATGTTTTTTACATATTGACACATCTGCGCCAGTATCTAACAAGAATTTTAATTTTTTATTTAAAGTCTGTAGTATAATATAATTGGGTATTGATTCTCCATTCTCATTTATTGTTGTTGTCCCCGCGTAGCCTATTCTGTAGTTTCTCTGTTGGTACCGGGGTTGTACTCGTTTCCCTGTTCCCTGTTCATGACACGTATCCTATTATTTCTTGTGTCTGTTCCTCTATTATTCTGTTGTCTGCCATTATTTGACCATTGGTAATTATTGAATCGTTGGTAATTATTCGATCGCTGATAATTATTCGATCGTTGTTGTCCAAATTGTTGGTGATTGTTATTTTGGGGTTGATTAGTTCTAAATGAACTGGTTTGTTGATTATTTCCATTTCTTTGATTCCTGTTTTGGTTGCTTCTATAATTGTTTCTATTCTGGTTAGACCGTTGATTATTTTGCCATCTTGTGTTTTGATTATGTGAACGGTAGTGCATCATACTGTGTTGTTGTGGATTATCGATGCTTGATGCTAATTTAACTGCGTCAATTAATTTTGTTGGTTGAGCTGCAATTACCACGGATCTAAATGGTTCTGATAAGCCATTTTTAAAAGTATTCAATCCAGTTTCATCATTCATGGATAATATAAGCGCTCTGCTCTGTTCTCCTCGTTCAGTTATCTGTATATCATTTAGAGTTGTATGCAAGTATGCAATTGTTATTTGACACTTTTCTTTTCTGTGCTACTATTCTGCACTTGTCGATATGACACACTTGAATGTGTCATAATATTTTCTAAGCATTGACGTGGGTCAACCTTTTTAGTGCCGCCGCAATTAAAATTATTAGGAAAATATTTGTAAATTATTGTAAAACATTTTTGTATAAATAGTTTGGAAAATTGTTAATAAAATTCAGATTTTAAACTGAGCTCGAACAGCTTAAACAAATGTCTCAAAATTTATTACTTATTATTATTTTTTTGTTTTTATCTTTATAAGATTTTTATTTTCGAATTTATTAGTTTCTTCTCATTAGGATTAGCAGGAAGAAATCTGCACATTATTAGGCATCCAAGAATGCCGAGACAAAAATAAGTTTTGAGACTTTTGTTTAAGCTGTTCGAGCTCAGTTTAAAATCTGAATTTTATTAACAATTTTCCAAACTATTTATACAAAAATGTTTTACAATAATTTACAAATATTTTCCTAATAATTTTAATTGCGGCGGCACTAAAAAGGTTGACCCACGTCAATGCTTAGAAAATATTATGACACATTCAAGTGTGTCATATCGACAAGTGCAGAATAGTAGCACAGAAAAGAAAAGTGTCAAATAGCAATTGCATACTTGCTATGACCAAATATTCTACTTGCATTGCGGTGGTTCTTCCGTGTGCGATCGCATTACATTAGTTAATATAAAATAATTTGTGCATAAGCACTTTCAAAAATACATGACATAATTTATTATTTGTTTTTGTTTACATTTTCATAGTTGCGCTATACACAACACGCTTATAATTTACATTGGCGACCGTGACAGGACGTTTTGCAAGTTGAATAGTGGTTATTAAACTCTAATTTATTAAAAAGTCTAAATATTACCCACGTGTTGTAATCATTTTTTTTTTTTTTTGATTAGTTTTGTAATCATTAGTGTACGCGTGTGTACATTTCTTCCAGATAGCTATCATATGTACTATCGTACGTATATACTATTGTTCAATTGGTGTTTCTCGGTTTAGGTCCGCTATCCTCAAAACAGAACCTCGTGTCCGCATCAAGGTCGCGCTCGACAGTTAAAATCACAATAACAAGAGACCTTTATTTGTTGATTGTACATATTTTCGCTTTTATTGTTTTTGGTTAATTTGTAACCATAATGTGCGCGAGTGAGTATTGCTCCTAAACAGTTATATATCTAACGTGTGCTAACTATAATAATATCGTGAATCTATACATATATACTACATACTATCGTACGTGTGTACTATTGTGCATTCTATGGTTCTCGGCTTAGGTTCCGCTAAGCGCCAAATAGAACCTCGTGTCCGCATCAAGGTCGCGTTCGACAATTACAACAACAACAACAAGATAATTTTACTTGTTGATTACTGGTTATTATTTGCTTCCAATCAGTTAGTGTGCAGGTTCGTCAACGTCGCGTCTGACAACAACCACCGTAAGAACATTTCAAATCCTGTTCTTAGCAGCAATTCGCTGCTGCTATTGTGACCTTTCGACTTCGTCAAATCCTTTGCTGTTCTCGGGTATCTACAACTGTTTCAATGGCAATGGCAGAGCCAACCACTACGGCAGAACTGTCAGAACTAAAACATCAGCGAGCCTCGACGAAGGCGAGCATTTCAAGGATCAAGGCGTTCGTCAAAGGAAAGATCAATTCGCTTTCACAACCAGAACTGAAATGTCGACTAGGTATTTTAGAATCATATTTTAACCAAATCCTAGCTTTTCAGACTTTGATCGAAAAATTAGATGCAACTGACACATCTAGAGATGAATTAGAAGACCTACACGTTTCCACCAAAATATTAATCATGTTTCAACTGCAGAAAGAGGCCCACAATGCGTCAGTGCTAGATGTAACAGCAATGATGCCCACCTCAAGTAAAAAATTACCACTGTTAAAATTACCTACATTCAGTGGTAAGTACTCGGATTATAACAATTTTATTAATTCGTTTCTCCAAATCATAGATCGCGAAGTATACCTCACAAATATTGAAAAATTTGACCACTTATTGAACTGCCTTACTGGTCAAGCTCTAGAGACAGTACAGGCATTTCCTATTTCGAATGAAAACTATCCAAAGGCTCTGGATAGGCTTAAATCGTGCTATGACAATAATAGCCTAATCTTCGCCGATTAGGCGAAAATATCGCGACACTATTTGATCTACCAGCAGTATCGGATCAGTCAAGCCAACAACTCCGTAGTCTGGTAAACAATGCATCCGCTTTGTATGGTTCACTCTGTTCCCTTGGTACAGAGAAACAAATATGTGAGGCTCTACTTATCTCGCTAGTCATGCAAAAAACGGACGCAATTACACGTAGGAAATGGAATGAATCGCTTAACTTCGACACATTACCCAGTTGGGAGGATTGCTCAAAATTGTTGGATAGGCATTGCCAGTTTCTCGAATCACTCGACAGTGGAAACGGCAATCAGTCATCACCACAACGTAAACCTAATATTCTTAACTCCAAGACAAACAGACGCTCAAAACAATACGCATTTGTTGCATCTACATCCAGCAATTCTTGCTCATTTTGTTCCAGCAATGAACACCTAATACAGAATTGTCATCGTTTTAAGGCACTGGAGGTGGTTCAAAGGTTTGAAATGGTGAAGGGCCTAAAACTCTGCATAAACTGCTTATCGCCACGCCATCATGTGGTTAATTGCACATCTACGTTTAAATGTAAGGTTTGCGCAAAGCCACATCACACTCTCTTGCATCATTCGCAATTACCAACGAATATTAAGAGCGCGGGATCATCACGACGCACAGAACACGCCGCTATGCCCAACGACAACGTTGCCAGCCATTCCCATCTTAACATGTCATCGGCCGAGCAAATAATTCTAGCCACTGCATTGGTTTTAGTGAAGGACTCATCGGGAAGTTGTCAAGTGGGTAGAGCCTTACTTGATTCATGCTCTCAGGTCAACTTCATGACGGAGGAGTTTTCAAAGAGGCTTAGTTTATCTAAACATAAACATCGGCTGCATGTTTCCAGTATTGGTAGTTCGCTGACCAATATAAAGTATCAGACGCTCACATCAATCAAATCTCGTCATTCAAATCTTGAACTTGCTTTAAACTTTGGTATTACGAATCACATCGCATATCAAACAATTTCTGAAATCGATATATCGTCGTGGAAGGTTCCACCAAATACATCTCTTGCCGATGAGCAATTCATTAAATACAAGCGCGTTGACCTTTTGCTTGGAGCTGAAAGTTTCTTTGACATTTTGTCTGTCGGTCAAATCAAACTAGGTGAAAATCTTCCAGTACTTCAAAAAACACTATTAGGATGGATCGTATCTGGCAAGTACAAGGGTCAGCCATTTGCATCACCAGCAGCAAAATGCCTATTATCAGTTGAAGATACAGTTTCCGATCAATTAGAAATGATGTGGAAGATAGAGAAAGTGCAACCGGCTGCAAAGTCATGATCACCAGCACATGTTGCGTGTGAGTCATTATATCGTGAAATGGTCCACCAAAATGCGAAGGGAAGAATTGTCGTTCGGTTACCATTCAAAGATTCGCCAGATTGTCTTGGTTTGACACACAATATCGCCTTCCGCCGTTTTTGTTCTGTAGAACGGCGATTGTCATCTAATCGTGCACTGAAGCAAGACTATCAAGAGTTCATGAAACAATATCGAGAGCTCGGAGACATGACGCGTGTTGAGACTCCGACAACCAACGAACCACATTATTATATCCCTCATCATTGTGTTTTAAAACCGTCGAGCACATCGACCAAGCTGAGGGTGGTTTTTGATGCGTCATGTCCAACAACTACTGGCCCGACAATTCAGCCGGAGTTATACTTGTTGCTACTTCAATTTCGTTCGACCGACATGCCTTGACGGCTGACATTGTTAAGATGTACTGACAGATACTGATAGATAAACCAGATCGAAAATTCCAATATATTTTTTGGCGAGATACGGAGTCCGATCCTGTTAGTACTTACGAGTTGAATACAGTCACTTATGGTACTGCATCAGCACCTTTCCTAGCAACCAGGAGTTTGCATTATTTGGCGGACAAATTTAAAACACAATACCCAATAGGCGCTACACTCATTAAATCATCGTTCTTTGTCGACGACTTCTTAGGTGGAGCGGATTCCATTGATCAACTCACCAATATCAGACATCAGTTAACGGCCATTCTACAGAAGGGTTGTTTCGATCTTGACAAATGGCATTCAAACCATCATGACTTCATCAGCGATACTACAACAAAAAGTTTGAATCTTGATGCAGATACAGTCACCAGCGCCCTAGGCATCAAGTGGCATCAAATGCAAGATGTTTTCCTATTTTCGTTCAATGCGCAACCAGGTCATGTTGTAACAAAACGCACGCAAAAATTATGATGCAAGAATTGTGGCTTTTGCGTGTGGACTGGGACGAGTCAGTCCCTCAAAATCTTTACTCAGCTTGGAAAACATTTATTCAAGATCTTACAACGCTTTCATCGGTTAAGGTGCCGAGATACTGCCTAACAATAAACTATCAACAGGTTGATGTACACGGTTTCTTTTCCCGTGTGGCACCTATAAAGCGGAAGTCGCTACCTAAACTAGAACTCTGTGGTGCCTTACTTCTTGCCAAACTGTATCAGAAGGTCCAACTAATATATACGCATTTTAAGGGTGAAACGTTTTTTTGGACTTATTCACAGATTGTATTACATTGGTTGAAGCAGCACTCATCAACCCTGTCTGCATTCGTTGGCAATCGAGTAGCGGAAATTCAAGATATAACCGCAAATGGGCAATGGAGACACGTTCCTACTCAATCCAATCCGGCAGATGTTGTATCGCGCGGTTGTAACATCCGCCAATTAACAGAGTCTTGTTGGTTTACGGGGCCGGAATTTTTGTTACTCGCTGATAAATACTGGCCGCATTTGAAATGTCACAACCTGGATATGGAAGAAATCAATAAAGAGACGCGAAAGGTTGTATTCGTTAACACAAATGAAGACAACTACGTATTACAGGTAGTTCAAGATATAGTTAGGTCAAGATATAGTTCATACACCAAGATGCTACGAGTAATAGCGCAGGTACAGCGATTCTATCATGTAACCAAGAATAAATTGAAGAACGGAGAATGTACCCTCCAACCTATTCAGCTACAAAAGGCATTGCACTGTATTATTTGGGTCATCCAACAGCAATTCTTCGAAATTGATATACAACGCCTACAACGAGGCAACCTAGCCGAAGGTACATTAAAGCATCTAAATCCCTTCCTGGACAATGTATTCGGTTATCAATTACTAAAGGTGGGAGGTCGTTTCGAGCTGAGTGACATCTCAGTAGGCCAACGTCACCCTATTTTGTTGCCTAAGGGCTGTTATTTTGTGGAACTTTATTTTCGGCATGTACACTTGTGCAACTATTATGCAGGCGCAAAGACACTAATTGCGCTTACTCGACTAAACTTTTGGATAATTAATATTCGAGAAATTGCACGCCGAGTCGTGAACTCGTGTATTCACTGCGTGCGTTATAAACCCAAACTACTTAATCAAATGATGGGTAATCTCCCTATTGAATGCCTCACTCCAAGTCGTCCATTCGCTCGTACTGCGGTAGATTTTTGCGGTCCGATTTTAACGTATCTCCGAATTCGGGGACGGGTTCCATGTAAGACCTATATAGCTGTGTTCGTTTGTTTGTCTACAAAGGCTGTTAAGTATTACATTAATAATTTATTTTGTCTTTTGCTGACCCATGCTAAAATGCATTTAACGTAATCGTAATACATTAATAGGTTATATTTTTGCTGATTAGTGTTTATTTTATAACTAGGGCTAGAACACTTTTTAAGTAATTTATTATTCATTGTTTTGCTAAATATTTTATGTAATTTGCTTGCTATTAATTATTCATTGTTTTGCTAAATATTTTATGTAATTTGCTTGCTATTAATTATTTATTGTTTTACTGAATATTTTATGTGTCATTATAAGTAATATTTTTTGCTTGATATTAATTATTGTTTTAAATTGGGTCAGTAAATTATTGCACGTAATAAGTTTTAGTAAGTAATTATTATAAGAAAAATGTATATATAAATAAATCAATTCTTTTAATAAAGTGTATTCGATGATACAAACTTGAATAGAACTCATCTTTCTTTTCATAAAATTACCAACGGGTTTATGTGCTCGGTGGTATCTTCACGAATATAAAAAATATACAAATATACCGTCCAACAAATTACATGTGCTTGGTGGAATTCCGGTATACAAATACACATCGATAGAAAATTGAGGATAAAAGCATTCTCAACATATTTTGGTGACCCCGACGTGATTTTCCTATAAGGACAATAAATAGGAACGGTGTTATCATGGAGCATTTCGACACACTTATTGATCAACAACAAGCTATAGGAGCTGAGATCGAGAGGATAATCAGCAACTTCAGGAAGGATCCAGCCTCAAGGAAGACGAATCGCTATTATCAGGATAGAATTCTACGGTGAACTGAACAATGGTCAAGGTTAGAGAAGAACCACAACACGTTACTGTCTTGTAAAGCTATGGCTGAAGATACAGAAGACGAGTATTTCACCACGGGCTACTATGAAAAAATGACTGAATTGACAAAGAAATACTTGGGTATTTTTAACAAGGCATTAATCGAAATGCAAGAGGTAGAAAATGCTCAGGAAAAGCCGCCAAGGCAACACAATCAAAATCCAATGCAGCTTCAACAAAATGAAGAATTATCAAGAGTGTTGCGTAATCAACGAGCACTCATAAATGTCATTGACAGATCCAGTCAAGAAATTGAAATGGCAAGCCAAGAATCTCAAAATGAAGTTTTTTATTCTTGCAAGCTTGCTTTGATAGAAGGTTATCACAAAGCATTCGATAACAACAATGAAAAAATATGGAATTCTCAGAAGAATTCATTGAAGGGTACTCCTGGGAATTGTATTATGAAATTAGTCAAAAACTCCAAGACATGGAGATTTGTTTGAAACTCAAGCTAAAATCATCCAATTCTCACTACCAGCACAATTCAGGCAGTTAAATTACCAACATTTACAATTACAATTACCAACGATTCCAACATTTGACGGAAACCAGCTGAAGTGGGTAGAGTTTCGAGACCTGTTTACACAACTTATAGACGAACAACCATTCAAACCTATCCAAAAGAAGTTCTACTTAACAACTAACTTGATTGGTGAGCCCAAAAACCTGTTAAAAAACATTTGCCAGCATCAGCTGAGAACTACATTACCGCATGGGAGATTCTGAAGGCTAGATACAATAATGGTAGATTATTAGTTACCGTATTGTGAAACAAATTATTCGCATTACCAGCAATGACAACTGAAACCGCTTCTGGCCTTAAAAAATTGCATGACATTTCACAAGAGTGTTTATTGGGACTTAAGGCGCAGCACATTCCAGTCGAACATTGGGACGTCATAATTGTTCATATGACGTTGAAGAAATTAGACAAGATCACACAAACAGCATTTGAGCAGTAATTATCAAACAATCGAGAGCTGATCACTATGAAGGAACTATTTCAATTTATTGAACAAAGGTTCCAATCGCTAGAAACAATAAATAATAGCGCATCAATCAAAAAATGGGTTAAGACAGTGGCTACAACTAACACTGCACCAGTTAAATGTCCAATATGCAAGAGAGATAATCATCCAATTCATCTATGCAAGCAGTTCCTGGATGACACCCCAGCTAAGAGGCTACATCTCATAAAATCATTGCAACGATGTTTCAATTGTCTAAAAAATGGTCACTTCACAAAAGACTGCACATCAGGCAGTTGCTTAAAATGCAGCAAGAAACACAACACCTTGCTGCATTTAGAAGGCACATTTGAAGCATCTATGATTAAGAAGGCATCCATATCAAAAAATCCTGATTCTCTGTTCTCCAACAATCTCAACATCCAAAAAAATTATGTGGTATTAGGAACTGCACGTGTTGTCGTTAAAGGCAACAATGGAAGAGAAATTGAGTGCAGAGCATTATTGGATTCCGGCTCCCAAGTCAACCTGATAACCGATCAAATAATTAAGAAGTTAGGTGAAAACCCGAAAAAGACCTCAGCATGTATAGAAGGTGTGGGGCAAAAAAAAAACAAGATGCGCAACAACGAATCAATTTAGCTTTCTCGTCCAGAATTAACGGATTTAGCAGCCGAATAGAGGCTTATGTATTACCTAAGATTGTGTGTGACCAGCCGAGCATTCATATTGAAAGCTCAAGCTGGAAAATACCACAGAACATCAATCTGGCAGATCCGTCGTTCAATACCCCAAACAAAATCGATCTCCTACTTGGAGCCGAGTTTTCTCATCAACTATTGTCCATCGGCCAAATAAACCTTGGCAGAGGTCTCCCCATCCTACAGAATACATTGCTTGGGTGGCTTGTGGTGGGAAAAATATCTAACCAAAATTCAATTATTTCACCACAAGTTTGTGGAATATGCTCTGAAGATGAGCAAGATACGATGAAGGTTATCGAGCGGTTCTGGCAACTAGATGAACCAGAAAAGGCAAACAAAAATCTATCTCCTTCCGAAGAGTTGTGCGAGTCTCATTTTGCAACTTATATGAAAAGGAATCAAGACGGTCGATTCAGTGTCAGATTACCCTTCAAGCAAGATCCATCGTTGCTTGGTGAGTCAAAACACATTGCCATTAACAGGTTTTTAGCGTTGGAAAGAAGACTCGATAAGGATGTAATACTCAAAACACAGTATGTACAGTTCATGAATGAATATGCTGATCTCGGACACATGGAAAGGGTTGACATCAACCAAGTTAATCCTCATTATGTCATCCCACATCATGGCGTTTTACGGCCCGATAGCAGCACCACGAAATTAAGAGTGGTGTTTGATGCATCGTGCAAGACGAGTAGTGGACTATCGTTAAATGATACAATGTTTACTGGCCCTACAATTCAAGAGGAATTGTTTGCGATTTTACTTCGATTCAGGTGCCCAAGATTTGACTTTTGTTCTGACATTCAAAAAATGTACAGACAAATTATTATTCAGCCCGAAGATCAAAGATATCAATTAATAGTCTGGAGAAGCAATAATAACGAACCCTTACAATTTTATCGATTAAAAACAGTCACCTATGAAACACGATCAGCCCCATATCTGGCTACTACGTGTCTATAATGACCGTATCAAATGCTTTCACTGGTGTTGGTGTAATTACCATAGGTTCTTTAGTTTTGCGCCCTGATTTATTTATTTTGCATTTAATGCATAACTTGACATACTTTTTTATGTCTCTTGTCATATTTTTCCAATTAAAATATTTTGAAATTTTTGATAATGTTCTAGAGATTCCCGGGTGTCCTCCAGAAATGGGATCGTCATCGTACTTTTTAAGGATTTCTAGAATATCCTTTTTTGTTAACAGTCTAGTTTTGCTAGGTATGAGCTCTATTTTAAAATTGTCTAACATGTTAGTTCCTTCTTTCTTGAACGTATTTATCCGGATAATCTTAAATCTTAAAGTCGTCTCCTAGAGACATTTGGGCCTTTTTTATTCCATTATTACTAGCTATTTTTTCAAGCTTCAGAAAGAGTTGACCTAAATCAATTTTTCTGTTAGTAGTAATGTCGTTCATATTAATTGTGCCTTTTATTATTTTACCTAGCTTTATATTGATAGTATTACCCTTAGTATATACTATGGCACTTTTTCTTTTTATATTTTCTTCAAGAGCTTCATAAATTTTTTCATTGAATTGAATTTCTTTGTTTTCGTTTATGGTCATATTTTCAACTTTTTTTCTTGATTGTGACCTTGTTTCTACCTTGAATAGGTTTCTTTGTTCTTGTATATTTTTAATATCATTAAAGTTCACTCTTGATAATGCATCTGCTGTATAATTTTCTTTACCCCTAATATACTCTACTACAAAATCATATTCCTCTAAATCTAAACGCATCCTAGTTAACTTAGATGACGGGTCTCTATTTCATGGAGAATAGATAAGATAATGGGCGGTGATCGCTTTTGACTAAAAACTTTCGACCATATATATACGGTCTATAATAAGTAATTGCCCAATGAATTGCGGCTAATTCCTGTTCTATTGTAGATTTATTGCTTTCTCCTTTTGTAAAAGCTCTAGAAGCATACGCTATTGGGAGTTGTTTATCACCATATTTCTGGCTAAGAACTGCACCACAGGCATATTTACTTGCATCTGTTGTTATGTAAAATTCCTTTACAAAATCTGGATATTGTAATACTTGTGGACTTATTAATGAACTTTTTAAATATTGAAATGAATTTTCACACTCTGTACTCCAAATAAATTCAGCTTTCTTTTTGCATAATCTTGTTAATATTCTAGAATATTGAGCAAAATTAGGGACGAACCGTCTATAGTAATTGCAAAAAGCTACAAATCGTTTTATCTCATCTGCATTTTTGGGAGTTGGATAGTTTTGAATAATATGAAACTTACTATCGTCTGAAAGTATGCCTTGATTTGTGCAATTATGTCCTAAATATGTCACTTCGTGACTGAAAAATGAACATTTATCTGGATGCAATTTAAGATTATATTTACGACATATTTCGAAAACATCTGTAAGATTTTTGAACATGTGTTTTACGGAACAGCCTAAAACAACTAAATTATCCATGTACAAGAATGCTTGTGCTAGAGATAGGCCTGAGAATGCTAGAGTCATCATTCTCTGAAATGAATTTGGTGCTACTTTGAGACCATATGGGAGTCGTTTAAACCTGTATGAGCCATTATCTATAGAGAATGAGGTTATATCTCTAGAATCTTTACTGAGTTCAATTTGGTGAAAACCTGACGTTAAGTCAAGGCAGGAAAAATATTTAGCTCTGCCTAATTGGTCAAGAATATCATCAATTCTTGGCAATGGAAATTTATCTGCGACTAGCTTCTTATTTACTGATCTATAATCTACAACAAGTCTCCATCTTTTATCTTTTTGATTAGGAAGATTTTTTCTTGGTACTAATAATATAGGACTATTATATTCTGAAGTCGATGGTTCGACTATGTCATTCTCAATTAACTTATCTACTTGTCGTCTAATTTCATCTTTATGTGCGTGAGGAATTCTATAATTTTTAATGTAAGTAGGTTTATCTGTTTTTAGTTTGAGCTTTTGTCTGTAAAAATTGTTTACTGAAATTTTTTCAGTTTCTAGTGCAAATATGTCTATATATTTTTTACACAGATCGTTTAGATCACTTTTTATAAATGCTGGAAAATTTTTGTTCAGTTTTTCTAGTTCTAAATCATTATTTTTTGTTTCATCTAATGTTATTCTTTCATAATCATTTAAATTTTCGGTTTTAATTTGTATATTATGTATAACAACATTTTCTTCTGTGGTATTTATTATTTTCACAAATGCTTGTGATGTTGTTGCTATTGTGTTAGCAATAAAAATTCCTTCTTGAATTACTTGATTTGGTATTAGTACTTCTTTATAAGTTGAGTTTATTGTAATTGGTCTTATTACTTCTGATCTTGCAGGCAAAGTAATAGAATTTTTGCCAATTGTACTCCTCATTGGTATTGCAATATCTTCAGGAAAATCATCTGGTCTTAGTATTATATAGACTCGGTGTTTTTTATAAGAAAGCACGCAATGGTATTGTTTTATAAAATCGAGACCTATTATTCCATCACAAACTTATCTTCTACTACATGGAAATCATGCGCGATAAGTATGTTATCAACTTTAAGGTCACAGTGTATCTTTCCTAATGTTGTTATATTTTCTTGCCCTATACCGTAAAGGTTTACAGTTACAGAAGAAATGTTATTTGCATTAGAGATTTGATTTATTTTTATTAGACTTATATCCGCTCTTGTATCTACTAAAAATGTGGAGTCATTATTATTTAATGTAGTTCCTGTTGTTATATAGGAAGCTAATGATACGTTTATATTGTAGAGAAATTTATTAGGGGTTATTTCTAGTTTTCCGATTGGTTTCTTTCAGATGCCACTCTGACATTTCTGTTGTTATTTGACCCTCGGCTATTTCTATTATCATTGTCATTTCGACGATTATTGTTACCACTGAATCCTCTTCTGTGGTAACCATTATAAAGTCTCTGACTTATAAATTGATTGTTGTTTCTTCCTCTATATCTGTTATAATATCCTCGTCCTCCGTAGCCACTATTGTAACCTCTGCGGCTACTATTGAAATATAAGACGGCATTTGGCTGGCTATAGGTTTCAGTACAGCAGTCAACGAATTTTGATATTACATCATTCATTGTGTTAAATTGACATGCTTGCATGATCAATTTAACTTTGTCATTATTAGCATTAGCTGTAATAGCTTTAACAGCCGTTTTAGTAGAATATTGCTCAGCTAAGGTCGATGGTAAACCATCCGCTATACCCCAGTAAAATAATTATATGTGCAGTACTTAAAAACTAATTTAAACTTCAAAAAATTTTGTTAGGGTGAACTTAGTTTATTATTTGTTTTTATGTTTAGTAGTCTAATTAAAATAATAAAAAAATTTTATTCAAATTAATTTTTTTAAGAGAAAAATTAACTTTATTTTAAATCTTCATAGAAAATATTTATATGTGCAATTCACATTTTTTGCTAAAAACAATTAAATATTTTATGTGATTTAATTTTTTTTATTTTTCAATAAGGTAATGTGTTTCCATTATTTATTTTTATTAACTGTATCCTAAGTGGCATTGAATCTACCAATTTTTTTAATAGTAGGAGGTCAATTTTGGCCCATTCATCCAGTATGTCCTTTTTCAGCTCTTTAAGAGTGTCGATTTGCTTCGAATAAGCATAAATATTGGCACTAAGGATACACCATAGATCCTCTATTGAATTTATGTCAGAACCCATGGCCGGCCAATCTAGCAATGGGGTGCTTCTCTCTTCAAAGAATTTCTTTTTGCACAAGAAACATGTATTGGAGCATTATCCTGTTGGAAAGTCCAATTTTTTCCATGAATATTTTCAGCGAAATTTATCAGTTCGCTATCCAACAGATTTATGTATATTTCGGAATTCATTTTTGATAGTGCGAAGCATATATTAGACTTTTCCTTCGAGTTAAAGGCAGCCCACACCATTAGTGAACCACCACCATGGTTGCGTTTGTTGCAATTCTGACGTGGATGACGAATATCTCTCCAATATTTATGTTGACCATCTGGACCATCTAGATTAAACTTTTTTTCATCACTGAAAACAACTGTTTCGAACTTCTTGTCTCAAAACTTAATTTTGTCATAAAAAGCTAAACAAGCATTTTTATGTCTTTGTGTAAGGCACGGTTTGGGAACTTTCGACTCGTATTTTAGCTTTAAGTCTTTTTTCAGAATTTGTTGCACGCATTTCCTAGTGATAGACAAATCTAATTCATTTCTTATTTGTCTGCAACTCATCCTCTCATTGGTAGCAAGAAGCTGAATATGCCGTTTTGTTCGGTTGTTAATAGTTGGTAAGCGGCCGTCTCGCTTATAACACCATAGTTTTCGAGATTTTTTAAAAAGTTTATTATAGTATTCAGGTGTCTATAACCAGCAGCAGATATTTCGCCACTTTTCATCCCAGCAAGACTCATTCCAATAATCTTTCCGCACTCTTCACTTGAAGAGTGCCGTCCCACGCGGCATATTTTATCTAAATTAATTAAAATAATAAATATTTATTAATAAATAATAAGTATTTTACTTACCAATTCTTCTTTACTCTTCAATACTTTAAAAAAACAACTTTATAATACACTTCACAACTTTATTTCCATTCCTGTTGACACTTCGAGAAGCAAAACAATTTTGCACATATAATTATTTTCTATTAAATTTACTACCTATTGTTATTAATTATAATAACGGTACTACAAATAGTATACAAAAAAAACTCTATATATGTTTAGAGAAGTTAAACTCAGCTACAGAATCAACTGTATATAAAAAAAATTAGTACCATTATTCTAAGAAGAGAATAACGAAAAACAAATTTTGCACATATAATTATTTTACAGGGGTATATGCTGATTGGAGGCTTTTTGTAAGCTCTCCTACTTCTTTAACGTAATTGTTGGCTGTTTTTTGGGACTGTTTGACATTCATTAACTTTGCAGTTAATACGTCAACTGAGTCTCCTTTTACATT